TGTTCACTCCAAATATAAATTCTTTCCTTTTATTACCACTGTCTTTTAAAATGTCATCATTTCTTGGCAAGTATTTATAATCTAACATCCTAGGTTCAAATTCAGCTCTCACTTAAGTAGCCATGTGAATGTCAGCCAGTTATGTGAGTTTTCTAAGAAATCTTAGCTTACTCAATTGTAAGACATGCAATCAGAGACCTGTCTCACAGGTACATATTGTAAGTATTAACTGATGATATAAGCAGAGTAGCACAATACATAGAACTTAATACATACCAAAAATTCGATAAATTTAAGCCAAAATCAAACTGGATTAGGCCTTTTCTAATTAGAACACACTTCCCTTGGTATTTTCATTAGAAATGCAAGCTTATAGGTATAATGAAAATACTCAATGACAAAAAAAATGGTTAATTATGATACATCCGCAGTATGGAATGGTGTATAGCCATTAATAATAATGAAAGCTTATCCTTTCCTGATGCAGACATGACCACTAGATATTGATTTTTAAAAAGTTGATTGCTAAAGAGCATATCATTGACCAATGCTTGACCCCATGAATCTCAGAAATATAAACATACTCTGAACAACATTAAATACAAAATTTTCCTGTAACACTACCTTCTCATCTCCCATCCATCCTTTACTGCAAACATCCAGACACTTCTACCTTCTATCACTCTTTCGGTTTGTCTTCTGCACCTAAATTTTTACTGTAATTGTTTTAATTGAGAAAACCCATGACATCTCTTCAGTGGTTACCCTACTGAAGGATTTATATCCTCAGTCACCTTGATACTCCTTCCTTAAGCAAAATCAAATCCTGTGGTTTCCTCTTTTCTTTCTGTCTACTCCTTTCTTATTTTCTACTTGTATCTTAAAGTGATGATATATACGGGGTTGCCTCTCCTCAACCCTTTTCTCTCTTTGTTCTCTATCATTTCCATCGGTCTGCGACTCACTGCTTGATGTGAACTACCATTCATCTACACACTAGTGATCAGTAATCCCCAGCCCTATTTTTCCCCCTTGCCTTGATTTTGCTCTAGAGGATCAGACTCTGGTTTCCAACTGCTTACCTCTTACGGACTTGGCTATGTAAGAGGATATCCCTTTCAACCTCTCTCAGGCAAGAGTATCATTAGGTAGCTCGTTACCAGTCTAGAAACCTGTGGTCATTGTTAACTCCTATCATTCCCTAGCCTTTCACATCTAATTCATACCATGTGCCAATAATTCTATCCCAATTCCATACCATGTCTCCATTAATAGAGCTTCTATCTTGGATAAGATCTTCATTTGGACCGTTGTAATAATTTCCTAAATTGTCTCTTTATAATAGCCTCTCACAACCCAAAGGCTTCCTAGACTGTATTTTAATAATAACTCCAGAAACAAACCAAATATTTACCTTGTCACTCTTGTACGAAAGCCTTCTCCACAGGCTCATTGCTGGTTATAGAATCCTGGCTTGGCTCACTGGGCCTGTGCAATATGGATCATAAGTTCTCCATCTTTATCTCTTACATGCTCCCCTGTGCATGTAAAACAGCCATCAAATTGAACAGCTTAACAGTCCCCAAACAAGATCTATTATGACTTGCCCCCATGCCTTTGTGTTTGACATTTCTTTGATTGCAATATTCTTCCATTGTATTTGCCTAATAAACTCCTATTCATCCATCAACAACTTGAGACGTCTTCTCTGATGCCTTGCGGCAAATTCAGAGCCTCGCTCTTTCGCAGCCCCATAGTACTTGACCACTGTGATGCTTCTCACTTTATGAAGTCTCCTGGTTCTTTAACCAAATGATTGCAAGCTAGTTAAGGAGAGCAGCCATGTGCCTACTACAGCAAATTCTGTTGTTACTAAGTATTTAAGTTTTTTCTTTTTTCGTAATGATGATAAACTGTGATATTATAGACCAAGCCCACCTTGTTGACCACACAGGGTTTTTTTTTTTTTTTTTCAGATATTTGCAAATGAAAGAATGGTAGGAGAGAAGGAAGGAAGAAAGAATTCATCCCAGTGCCATGAATCAACCAGATTCAACTATGGAACCTCCTGAAGGAAAATAAGGAAATCATCTTACCCTAGAAGACTACTGAGATACTTTGAATGTGGTACAGACACAGATCTATGGGTTCACGAGTTATCCTGCTAGGAGGGAAGATATCTAACCAGATAGCTTAAAGGAAGCTCTTCTTGTTACTACTACATCCCAACCCCTTCCTGCCTACAATTCTAGCATATCATTTTGAAGAGCATATACAGTTCTTCCCCTCCATAACCTTTGGTTTCAGAATCTCATGATAGGAATTTCTAGTTTCTATGACAATTTCAAGACTATCTAGGGCAACCACACTTGTATGTCTGACTTTCTTGAAAGCCTCCTTACCAAGCCACCCATACCTCTCCTAAGGCTAAAGGCTTTGAGCATGTTAGAGATATGGACAGCCCCCCTATTTGCAAGTTTTGTTATATGAAGGTGATTTTTTTTTTCTATTCAATTTTCACCCCTTTCTCTTCTTTCTACACTCTGAAGCTACACAGAATGGATCTAATCCTTTTTTTAAAAAATTTTTTTCTTTCGGCATGAGGCCTTCAGATAGATAGAGAGCATATTAATGTCCTTTTTATGCCACGTGTTTTCCACAAGTAGCTTCACCAAGCCCTTTGCCACACCTCATGTGACACGATTTCTAGTTCACAAACCCATCTAGTTATTCCACTCCAAATGACATCCAGCTGTCTATGTTCCTCTTGAAGAGTGTTGTCTGAGGCGGGTGTGACCAAACCAAAGAGCAGAGAGCTCAGCAGCCTCATCTAGATCCTCTGCTCTCTCAATGGAGTCCAATGTTGAACTGGTACTGGGGACAGCCATCCTATATTATAACTCTACATTGCTCTCACTGAGCTTATGTTCCATTCAAATTCCTAAGTTTTGCATTTTAAATTAGTTTCAAATTCTTGTAGCTCCTAAGTCCACCTCCCTACAGAACACTGAACTCAAGATTTCCAGAGAGAATTTACAGGATGATAGAATACTGTTTGAACCATTTCTCTCACTGACAAAGTCTTATGCACTGACTGTGTCAGAATAGAAATAGGAGTTATCCTGGATCACATCAGAATCTAACAATGTACAGTTGGCCATACATATCCACAGATTCAACCAACACGGATCAAAGATATTTGAAAAAAATCCAGAAAGTTCCACAAAGAAAAATCTAAACTTGCCACATGCTACCAACAATCTATATAGCATGTACATGTTATTAGGTATTACAAGTAATCTAGAGATGATTTAAAGTATATAAGAGGACATGAGTAGGTTATATACAAATTCTATGCCATTTTTTATAAGGGACTCGAGCAACCAGAGATGTTGGTATCCACAGGGGTCCTGAAACCAATCCCCCACAAATACAGAGGGAGAGTGGTATATATGGTATCACTCATACAAAACTTATAAAGGAGATTATGCACAAAAATGTACAGAAAAGAGGGAGATAAAAATTCAAAGTTTTAGAAAGAAATATCATCTCTGTATCCCTGAACCTAATCTACTGCAAAGGTAATTCAAAACTTTATGTGCACAACAGAACAGCCATCTCCCAAGGTGTAGTTCAAGAAACATCAGTTCTATGGGATGTTAACAGATATTAGGGGAGAAATGAGAAATATCGAAATAAATAAAAATAAAGTAAGACTTTTCAGGGCCTTAAATTTGCAAATGTGAACTGTGACATCTCAGACCTAATAAAACATCAAAATTATCTCAAAGGGTTACTAAAAATAACAAATTCCTGGATTTCACCCTGAAGATCCTGATTTACTAGGTCCAGGAGAGGCTCCGGAATTTGTCCTTTGAACAAGTGTCTCAGGTGATACTGAAGCTGCCAGCCAAGGAACCATTTTGGAGAACCACTCTGATTTGACCATGGACATGTGATGATAGCAGTTTTCTAAGGTACATATTGTCAGAAATAATATGGTAGATCCAGTACTACTTTTGGCTATCTAGAAAATGAAAGCACCACAGAGGCCATTTTTTTTAACAAAAAATTACTCTGAATGGACAGGAATCTGGAGTTTAGCTTTATTTTTACCCCAAATCTCATCTAAGAAAAACATAACCATCTTTTTCAAATAAGATGTCTAAATATCCCACATGTGTCTGTTTCTCTAATTCCATGTTAAAAATGTATTTTACATGGTAAAGAAAAAAGCTTTGGCAAGGGCAACATTTATCCTGGAAACAGAAACAACACAGAACAAGTACCCCATGGATAAAGGAAGATGGGTCAGATTGATGGCAAAGTTTTAGGAGAACACGTTTTGAGTAAGTGAGGTGCTAAGTTTGTGGTCAATTTTCTCCCAGAGTAAGTAACTACAGGTCCACCCTAGTCACCCTCACATTTATGTGTCATGAAAGTCACTGGAAAAAAATCAAATTATTACTATTTGTCTCCTTTTACTTAAAAATGTACTCTAACATCTCACCCTGACAGAGACTGTTATTTGGGGAAACAAACATTAGGACTGGAAGCACTTATGAATACAAACTCAAGCAAAGAACAACTGAAATTTGACAACACATAAAAATGTCACACTACTTTCACAACAAAACTTCTTTGCTCTTCCAAAAACAATATATAGCTCCAAAGACACACGCATATGTCCACTTAAAAATGCAGCACACACAATCATTCTGGGAACAGCCAGCTACTATACATTGTGCATCAACTGAATAGTGCAATTCATCTCAATTATTATAGCACAAATAATACTTGCCCTCCCTTTCTCATTAATATGCTCTCAAGGGATGGCTTTCTAAAAAGAAAAATATAAATTCATAAGAATTTCAGAATTCCAAGATAAAATAGCAACAGTCATATACATAGCTGCAATAAAAGACATTTTTATAAAAAGACTAAACATATGGATTTTTCTTAGTAAAATATAAGCAAGTGTCTTTTTCATGTAAAGGTACCTGCAAAATGTGACTTCCCAAATGTGCTTCAAATACTTCAATGGCCAGTGCACTGGGGCTTCTCCTTCGCTGTGCACCTATAACTTAAAAGAAAAAGAAAATAAAAGAAAGAAAGAAAGAAAAATTAAGTTGGGGCTCTGATTTACACCTTCAGCTTCATTTCTCTGTAACTGTATCACTAGACAGCTACTATATCAAAGAGATCTGAGAGAAACACAACCCAGGGTTAACTTTGGTTCTGAGTTGCCTGAGCAAAATCAGAGCCTAGGGTGAATTTCCATCTCAGAATATCAACTTCTACAAACATTAAAAATCATATCCAGACTTAAAACAATTTTCTTTTCCTTTTTAAACTATTTTTCCTACACTGGAGCAAACAAAACAAAACAAAACAAAACAAAACAAAGATGAATGTTCACGTTCTTTTAAAATAAATTGGTAAACTGTTTTTCTTAAAATTTAGCTTTTTTTTTTTTTTTTTTTTTTTTTTTTGTGGTACGCGGGCCTCTCACTGCTGTGGCCTCCCCCGTTGCGGAGCACAGGCTCCGGACGCACAGGCCCAGCGGCCATGGCTCACGGGCCCAGCCGCTCCGCGGCATGTGGGATCCTCCCAGACCGGGGCACGAACCCGTGTTCCCTGCATCGGCAGGCGGACCCTCAACCACTGCGCCACCAGGGAAGCCCCGGCTATTGTTATTTTTAAAGCATATACACATTGCCTTTTCCTCCCAGAGAAACCTGAATGTTTAATATCCTCTAGGCTAGAAAAAAGCAAACAGGACTTTTTTAATGTTCTAATGCAATAACTTTATCATAATTTAATAAGCACAACATGTCGGCTAAGAGATTCTCATTAATGACTGTTTGCACTAGTGTTAAGTGTCTCAGGATGGCTGGATTTCATATTTACTGAACATTCACATGTAACTATTCCTACAGGACCTACAGGGAGCCCAGGTGGATGCTTGCCCAGCATGTGTCTTGCAGGTCAGTGACTATTTTCTTATCTGTATACTTCTGTTCTTCTACGAACTTATAGTTTGTCTTTCTCTTCCTGGCATACCCTACATGTGCTGTCTGCAGGCACATACACCCAAAGGTCTCCCAACCCCTAACAAAAGAGCTTAATGCATGATATTTGGGGATCCAAAATTGAGGGCCTTCTCTTTACAATTTTTTTTTGGAATGGGATCACAATTTGCTTTTGAATCTGTTCTGGCTATTCTCCCTGTTTCAAAAAGTTCTCAAACATAAAAATCAATTTGCTTTCCAGTAATTTATGAACAAAAATATTCAGAACTTTTCCAAATTTCCAACAAGTACATTCCTTGTACATGTACATTCCAAGTACATGTCTTCCTGCTTTTCCTAAAAATTGTATGACAAACCTCTATTCTCTCAAACCTAGACACTATAAATTGAAAATAAAATCAAATCCCCTACTTTCTTACTTCTCAAAACACTTTCAGCTAGTTGACAAGAAAATTTCAGCAAAATGCTGCTGGGATAATTCTGCTTCGTTTCAGTTACTAAGTCAGTCAGTTGGATCCATAGCTTAGTAGGGATTATAATATAAATGTACTTATGATTATTGTGCTGTGCAAAATAGGCAGTTTACCCCTGCAATTGCAAGCTAATGTCTGCCAGGTCTGAAAGGCACTTTGAAAATAGCATGAGTGGTAAGTATCATTATCACTAGCAAGAAGAAATAAAAGGGGCATTATTTTCAATGGGAAAATTTATAAAATATAATTGAAGAGTGATTATTATCAAAGAATATTCCAGTTGGAAGGGATCTTAAAGATGTCAATTCCAAGTTCTTCATTTGCTTCAGAAGCAAAACACACAACTAATATTCTTAAAATAGAAAAATCAGTTTTCTATCCTAAGACTAATCATTACTGTAAGCATAGACATATGCTTTTTAAATTTTTAATCTAAGATGTACTTAAGACAGTACTACTGGGTGTGTGGCATTTCTGATTAATTTCCTATTCTAACATGCACATTACTCCCTTCAAAACTCCTTTGGCATTTTTGATAATGCAGCTGTCTTGCTGAATACTGTTTTCAGTTTCTAGAGTGTTAATTGCACATTATGGTAGCTTGGTGTGAATGATCCCACATGAATAAAATCTGCAGTTCTTTTTTTTTGTTGTTAAGATTGTTGTAGGGAGGGGAGCTTTGGGGAGGCGGAAGGGGGGTGTTGAAAAACTTCAAAAGTGTCCACTCTGTTTTTGAGGCAGTAATTAGGATCCAGAAAGCTCCTTATTAATAGTTCATAATTTGGGGGCATTTCAGGACTGCCAATTATGAAGTTCAAAATAAACCATTGTACCTCACAGAAGAAATGGGTTGATCTTAGAGAACATAGACTATTCTCCAAAAAGAACTGGATTAAGAGTGGGGCAAGAGAGCAACAGCCACCAACCTACAGAAGACCCTAAAACATCACAGGAAAGGAAGGCCCAAGAAGCGTGCTCCAGTAACAACTGCCCTCTAGAAGCACGGAAACAGGTGACTACAGTGGGGTCCTGCAGGGGTTATTTAAGCCTGTCCATTGATGGCCTTTCTTTTCCTGCCTTTCCTCAACTCGGGGCTCAGCTGTTCTCTAAGTAAATGTTGCAAATGCATAAATAATTAGGAATTTTATTTTAAAAGCTCCTTAGTCAGCCTGGGGATCCCACATGCCTTCATCAGCTCTTCTATCCATGAGTCCTTCCTGCATAGTTATTTTTCTTTGTTCTTCAGACCCTGTAGAAATCTGAGTGTGCATCCTAGTACATGCTAGCATAACATACAAGCATCTTGTAAGTGGTTTCATGCTTTTCTCTTCAATGGCATTTTTATGGCACTGGAACTTCTCTTGATTTATATGTTTTGCACTTATGCAGGTGATATGGGGCTGTAATCACAGCTCCTAATTTTACAACCAACATAAATATGTTAAACAGGAGTCCATTATGCCCCCAGTAGAAGCCCAACTCTGACTGTAGCATTATTGGTAACTGAATAGATGTTAAATACTGTACCTTTTATCTTGTACTTTTCATCCTACCACATTTGGTATTTTGAGTATTTAGACAATAATCTGATAACTCAGGAACGATGCAAACAGTTATTATGTTCCTCTATGTTAATGTCATTGTGTTTAGGGATTATCATTCATGCTTCAAGAAAAACTAAAGAGGCATTTCCTCAGTGAGGCTCATCATTCTCAGAAAAGTACTACATTGCTTATGAAGCTCTCTCAGATTGTTTTATTTTGGAAGTTGACCGTTTCTAAAGCCATTTGGTAGCCCACACACACAGCATACTTTTTATTGCTGAATAGGTCAATGCTTTATCTGATCTACAGACACTTCATTCATTTGTCTGTTCAATTAAAAGACACTGCGTTTGAAATTTAAAGAACACTAAATTAACTAAAAAATGCACAGCGCATTGCTAAATAAATGGAACACATAATCCCATTATCTGTGAGGATTATATCTCTTAAGTCACTGACAGTGAGATGTGAGAGCTGTATAAACTGAACAGGTTATATAAACTGTTAAAAGAAAAACAAATCAAGCTATAGCAATATAGTAATTCAAATTCGATTCAGCATTTACTGAGTAACTATTTGACGCTGTAGAGTAACTAGTGTTATAAGACCTAATAAATGTTCCGTAAGAAAATTTTAAGCAATTCAAAACAAACCTAGGCCCAGCATATAATTATCAAGACCACAACATGATCATCTCATGTTTTTCAAGGGTTAGAAATAAAACACCTAGAGTTTTAAGAGACTTTAAATGGAAGAGATATATAGGGAGAAAGATTTTTTTTAAATCAACTAAAGAAATTCTGATTGTCTCAGAATTCTAAAATGATATGATGAATCATTAGGATTGTGCCTTTGGCCTTTCTCTCATTAAAAAATGGAAGACAGAAGGAAACCCCAATTTGAAATATGTATCTGAAAAATTAGTTTTGTCCCTCAACAACGTCAGCAAAAATACTCTAATCTAAACTCTTCCACATAACCTTGTGAGGTAGTCTTTGAGAATTAATTAAGTGCAGTAAAAGACAATTCCTCTTTGGGGAAATGTACCACACACTCCCAGTCATATTCCTAACCAGTGCCTGTCACCTTCGGGGATGCACAAACACCAGGAAGGCTGAGGATTATCGCTCAGTGGGAGTTTGACCTATTCAGCCAAAAGGTCAGCTTGCCACATAAGAACCCATTACAAAACAGAAACAGGACAGCTCAGTGGACACACATAATGATAGAGGGAAAAGTCACGAGCCCTTCTTGCCTTGTGTCCTGCATTGCCCTTTTCCTCCTAACCCTCCCCACCCCCATTTCCAGAGAAGTTGGCACTGCCCCAGCTCCTCGAGCACAGCTCACAGTGGGAAGGTAAACCACAGGCAGGGAGACAGAAAGGGGCTCATTATTTCAGGGATCACTTGAAAAAGATATTCAAAGGTAGAGTATGACATCGTGAGGCAGGATTTCCAAGAGATTGTTTTATTTGGAAAAAGTTGTCATTAGCAGATAGGGAAGACCATTTTAGAGCTACTTTCTCATCCAGCTCTCCCTCCATGGGGAGCGGAATGGCAGGATGGGTGAATGTAGCCTTAACATTCTGCATGTGCTATTTCAAGAGCGAAATCATCCACCGAGTAAAAAGGCAAAGCTTTATGGGTACCCTCTGAATCTGTCATCTAAGGGGCAAGGCTCTGTTCCCACACTGAGCTTGGAGGAAGAGAGGACTGAAGGGCATGCTTAATGAAATCCCGACATCACTCCCTGGGCTTTAGCACTTGGGCTAAGCAAAGTCAGGGTCTGGGAAAGAAAGGAGTACAGAATGCTTAATGAGTCTTTCCATGGCTACCAAAGAGAAGAAAAGGGATTTCCTTTGAAGAATGTCAATTAGCCTCCCTCACTGTAGGGCAAATGAAGCCAGGGAGGGTTTTCCCAGGAGCCTTAGAAGTTTATGAGGTATGCAGTTGTGTGTGCGTGTGTGTTTCCCTTTATATAAAATAAACATTTATATGCCTTCATTGACTATGGGACCAATTCTTCATTCTGACA